GGCCTGACAAAAGAACCAACATTATAAAGCTGGGGATGGGTAAAGAAATAGGTCACAGTAGAAGAGTAGGAAGAACTAGCAGAATGTTCCCAAATTTGCTTGCCTTTTTTTTTTTCTGCTCTAGCAAATGGATGGCCACAAGTGCTGACCATGACACTCAGTGAGACTTCTCTGGCACCATAGTTGCTGGGCAGCACACATCTGCAATTTAAAACTGCTGTGTTTTTGTAAGCTGATGGCAAATTTCATGCTGATTTCAAGGTGTGCTGGTCAGGCTATGGGTGGAGAGGCCTTGCCTTCTTACAGTGCTTCAAGTTTTGAAGCCCAGGCTGCACTCTTACTGTGGCAGCACACAAAATGGCTGGGCACTGCATGTTGCCCAGTCATTCCGGTATGCCAGGGTTGTCATCTTCCAAACACAGGGTAACGGCTGAGCCTAATCAAACCAGACAAATGCATTTTCCCAGCTCCCTTTGCAGAATCAGGGAGCTATTATTAAGGCTGCATTAGCCTTTCCGTTATAAAGTCCTACTTTTGAAGCTTCAATCATTTGTATTTAAGACACCCTTACCAAGTGACAATTTGGCACACAGGGATGAAAACTTTGAGAAAAACCACTCTTACACTAAATTCAGTAATAAAGGTCTCACTGATTTCGACTACCTAGAATGAGGTCCAGCATTAGCTGTTTATCTATCGTAGCTTAAAATCCCTGGTAAGGCTGAAATACTAATTTTTCCTAACATAATTTTTACTTATTTTCTGAGCACTTGAATGATATCCCTGTTTTTGCAGAGCAAGCAGGTTTATGGGCTGGCTAATGAGGCTTTCATACCCAAATACCAGCAGCCGCATCTCCTTGCTCTAAGATGGATGCACTGCTTTGGCTGGAACTTCAGGCGTGCCTGCAAATCCACCAGTATTGATATCAGCACCTCCCAGCACCAAGGTCTATAAAACGCCATACGTGCACATTACCTTAAAGACAGTGCCAAGGAGACAGATGACAAGTTCTTCAAACACTTCAAAAAAGTGCCAGTTTTTGTTTTTTTTTTTTTTTATACTTTTAGTGTGCTGATTTCATTAGAGAGGGACTTGTCTGTGGACACTGTGGAGCTCTAGCTTGGATGAGTGCCTGAGGGTATGTTGACACTGCAGTCACCACTGCAGCTGCAAGCTGATGCAGAGGTATGCAAACCTGCTGTAGCCACCGCAAGGAGAGCAGAAGGGCCTCTCTGCCCAACAATTTGGTTCTCAGGTAGGTTTGCAGGTTATGCTAAGTTTTGTGCTGCAACAGCTAGAGCTAGTCACTGCACAAAATTTCATGCCCAGGAATAGCGATTGCTTTCTGGAAGCAAGACCCACAAAAACTTCCATTGCTGTGTAGACTGGAGGTCTAAAAAGGTTTCTATGAGCCTTCCACTATCTTCCTCATGTGATAGCATTACCAACACTAAGTACTAGAGGAAATCTCCCATCAACTATGTGCAAAGGTGTTCTAAGCTGCCAACATTCATGTGTCTGTGGTCATTTACACAACACTAGATGGGTTGCTAATCCATTTCTTCAGCTCCAAAATACAGCAGTTTAAATCCCGTCTTCAAAAACATCCCTTCTCTGCATCTAGTTTAGAATTTGACCCAAGGTATTGCACAACTAATTGCTAGTTGCATTGCTCAGATATCCTGTAGCTGACAAAAAGTAAAATAATTCTGGGTTAAAGTATTCTATGCAACATTTTCAGTAGTGTGCTTCCTTATCTATCACCCCCTTGAAAAGATTGATGAAAACAAAAAATTTCTTAGAGTATTGATTCAAGCAAGCAAATTGTCATTCTATTTATTTCTCTTACTTATTTCTGCACTATTGTCAGGCAGCCTAGAGATTCCTGGAAAGAACAGACACTGAAATAATTCTCAATTATATTAGTGTGTGCCATAATTAGCTGGAAGGGTCTGCTTTACTGAGGGCCCCTTTAAACCTTGTCCATCTGGTTTCAATCAAATCATCAAGAGAACAGCAAATGTCTTCTTCAGAATAGCTGTTTCTTACTCATTACAATATTCAGTTATAAGTAAACCAATCGGCAGAAGTCACATTGCCTGTATGTCATAAAGATGATCAGCTCCAATACCTTGTCTGACCTCGGAACATCACTAAGTAAGGGAGTGCCAAGCACTCTTTTCCCTATTAAGCACAGCCATCAAGCTCTTTAAATAGCATAAAAAGAGCTGCAATGGGGATTTTGATTCCAACATATAAAGGAATGATGTAGTCAGGGCAGAAGTCACTCACATTTCTTAACAGGACTTTTACTGTAGCTTACAGCCAGTGTGTGTGCTAGTTTCTTCGGTAGAGTGGCAGGCCTGAAGATGCATTGCTGCTTGTTTTAAGTGTACTTGGGATTTCGCATGCATGCTTAAGAACAAATCTAGCCAGACCGAGTATACATCTGATGCCTCACCAAAATGGATATATGCTATACAGCCATAACAATTAAAGGCAAGCACACATGACATATACCCAAATGTTCACAGGGCAAACAGCCTACAGAATTCACTGCAGACTAAAGCTGAAACACAATTATTAAAGAGCTAGTAATTACTGCAAACTAAACCTGTTTCCAAGCTAAGCATACCAACAGGCTGCAGGATCACATATTCAACACCTTAAACTATCTTGTGAGGTGCTGAGACAGTAACAAACCTTACTTCTTATTCTTTATACCTGGCCATTTCATTGTGGCTGCTGCTGGTTTCACCTACGGTCCCATAGTTAAATTACCTGCTGGGTTTTGGACATCTCTGTAATACCTCCCCTGTACCACTTGTTGGTCCCAGGTTCCAACCCCTTTCATGCATGCTGGTGTCCCCTCTGAAGAGAAGTGCTGCTGGCCTGAACTGGGTTTCCCAACCACATGAACCAAGCAGGCCCCTGTAAGAAAGTTTTCACAGGAACTAGACTAATGAATGATGGAGGTCACCCATAACAGGTATAGCAAAATTTCAAATATTCTTTATTTACCTGAAAGCCATGATAAGAAAGATTTGGAACTCTGCCTTATTTAAACACTATCTTCTCCTGGTATGTCTCAGTAAATTACACTCAGCACCTCTTGCACAGTATCTTCCCTCAGCTGAGGCCCAGGCATTTTCTTCCTCTTGAGTTTGGCATCTTGAGTCTGTTCAATACTTTTAATTCCACGCTCTGGCCTTGAAGAAAAATTTCCACTTGGCTAAAGTCAAATGGGTCAGCATTCCCCAAACTTACATCATCTGTAATTTTTTGTTCCTTTTAATAAAATTGGGACATTTCAGAGATAACTTGTTCCTGTCTCATCTCCGAAACTTTGTCTTTCACACAGTTTTATCTGCCTAACACCTCACTTTGATGCAACTCCATGACGTAAAACATAGTATCAAGCAGGTAAGCTATATAAAAAAAGTAGTACAGATTTCACTCTCCTTGGTTTTATATGGAAATTGTGCTCTCTCTCTTCACAAAAAAACCCTAATTAATAACAGCCTAAGAATTTTTATTATATCATGGTATTAGTCTGTTTTAAAGCTATAAGAAATGCAGTGTTAATTCTTCTTTGAGCTTTTTAAAAGCTCAGTGAAATCCAAATACGTTATCAATATGTTATTGCCTCCCCACAGCTTCAAACTCTTTGCTTTCCATTTTCCAGGTGTCTTGACATATTAAAATGAATTATGCATGTTACTGTGACTATTCAACAACTTTTCTAAAAATCCAACATAGGCTGATTTCTGACAGCTGACACAAAATGCTGATATAATTCAAATACTCTCATTAAAGGAGAAACAGTATGAAAATAACTTTTTATTAATTTTCAAATATAAAACAAGAATATCTGCATTTGCTTATCCAGTGCAAATGATCTGCCCTATGGTCAGTCCCAGCATTAACTCTTACAGATATTTTACATCATCATAATGGATTATGTTTAATCACTGCAACATATAAAAATCAATTTTTAGGAGTCAAAAAGAAAGAGACAAAATCGGTGACCAGATCCAATGTTGTTCCACATCCCTTGCAGAGTAGCCCCGAGAACATAGCAACTCTGCCATCACAGCAGCCTTATGCTCATTCATGAGTTGCATCCATTCTACGGATTTTATCTTCTTGCACTTCTTAGGGCTCCTAAGGATATTACCTTTCTTGACTCAGGCATTCCCAGTGCCACATGGCTATGCCCACACACAGCAAGTAGTGGTACCTCTAGTCAGACTGTGGTACTCTTGCTCATGTCAGATACTAGCTTTCTGCACGAGTGTGCAGAGACATTCCTCTGCCTAACAGTAACCCATGGCCTTTGTCAGACCCAGGCTGAAGTGCAAGAACTAATAAGCCAAGCTTTCTGAAACAAACCTAACTGTAGGCCAGGATCCCCTGCCAGCCCAGTCCTCCTCCCTCTTGGGTCATCCAAGTGCCTGCCACAAGTAACCAACACTTAATGTCAATGGAATAATAGACAATAAAGCAATCAAAACCCAAATCAGAGCCAGAATTTTCCCTTTTACACATGTAACAACGAAGAACCTCCCAGTGCATTTAAGAACAGATGTAAATATAAAGTAACCTGCTTAGTAGTATACTGAATAGTAGTTGCTGTAGGTCATGATAGAAGCATAGAGAAAGAAGTAGTTCAATTTTAAAGTCTGAGCTCCAAGTCAGATTGTCAGATGCAACAACAGATGAAAACACAGTAGATATAACCTCAGGTAGGCCAATTATCCACTTTAAAGCATCTCTGCATCACAGTCAGTGCGAGTTGGGCACTAAGTTTCTATACAGTAAGTACATTATATGAAGAACCTTTGTTGCACAATTAGCCAGCCACAGCATGAATGCTGGTGGTTGGTTGCTTTGTGATGCCAGCCAAACTGAACATTAAGCTCCAGCCCAACACTTTGTTGTTGTTCTGGTGAGAGGTTTTTTTTGTTTTTCTTTTTTTTTCTTTCATTGTTGTTGGGTTTTTTTTAAATGCTTCTGATTATAAAGATTTATGATCTATTGATCCTGGAAACCTCACTAATAAATCCAGTCCTGTTTTCAGCCTATAGGGATGACAGTGCCTTTGTAAAGAGCAAAGCTTCAAACAAAAACCTAAGGGTTTTTTTTTTCCCCCTACAAGCACCATAAGTCCCAGTTAACAAAAGCAAATGCAACAGACAGAAACTTCGCCCTTAAGTAAGTCTCACTTTTTAATACACTACTTCTACCTGCAGTAGAAGCTGAAAAAGCAACCTTTAAAATTACGAAGCAAGTATCAACCCAAGGGGCTTCAATGCATAATGAGGCCAATCAGCATTTTGTCACAACAAGATGCTTTGTTTTGGTCCTTACAGGACAAAGTCTCTAACAAGTAGCTTCCTACTGGTCAGTTAAAAATGAAGCTAGTATAACCGCAGACTGCCAAAGACTTCTATGTTTCAGTCAGAATAAACCCCTCAGCTTACTCCCTTTGTCCAGAACACCCAAGATTTTAATTCACAAATCTTGATGAGTATGACTCTGAGGAAAAGAAAAAGTATATAATTTTATCATCAGTGTTTCTGTACAATCTGCTAGAGGGCCTGGTATACATTCATGTGTGTCTCTTTCATGTTACAATTACTTAATTTCAGCATGTAATGATTCCTCTAATAGCAGTTCTAAAATCCCACTTTGTTCCAATACTTATGTAAAATAGAGTTGTACCAGTTCCACTTCTGGAAGGCAATTTAGTTTTGCTTAACACACTGCCTTGCACCACCATTATCTTCATCTTCTACTACAAGTTAGAACGGGTCAGCCATGGAAATTCCTGGAAGCAAACCCCCCCCCCAAGAATAAAAAACATATCAGAATGGACAAACATTAAGAGGAACAGGATACAAATATGTATTAACTACCAGATGGAATCCACAGGAAATAAAGACTGCTCAAAACGTTTTGTCTCATTTTGTCAAGAATGAAAAGGAACAACCATAAATTCTGGAAACAGTCATTAAAAGACACTATGCATTAATAATAGCTAATGGAGGAAAAAACCCCACCCAAAACAAACCAAAGAACAAGGAAAGCAGATGGAACAGTGTAAAAGCACCTATACTCTATCTTCCAAATCTAAAGACAATCTTTCTGCCTTGCAACTATCTCTGCTTTCTCTGCGGTTTAAGTGATACTTCTGGAGGATTTCAGAGGCTTGCCCACATGAAGCTTGCAGAAAAAGAAAGGGAAACATACACATACCTGTTTCTTTCTCTCAGACTGTGGATCAATCATTACATTTATAAGAGAAGGTGTTTGCTTGTCAGTCAGGCTTGCTTTCAGAGCATTCTGCAATTCTTCTGGAGTTTTAACAAAGTATCCTTTACCTCCAAAGGCAGACATAATTTCCTCATAGTGTGAATTTGGCAGGAGAGAAACAGGAGGTACACTGTAACAAAATGGCAACACTCCGATTAATGGCAGGGAAGAATTGCCAGACGGACCAAGTTAATTACTTCAGCACTGATTTTAAAGTGTAAGATGAACATTGTGCTGGGCCGACGAATTCTTCCGGTCTGGAAGAACTGTTTCCTATACTGCTTAAGCTATGTTTATAGGGTAGCATACTCATTTTCATCTTCTGGAGATGTTCCTGAGCAAAGCTTTAGTCTAGCTCTCTTGGTACAGAGATCTCAGCTGCAGAAGCCCAGTGTAAACTCAGAACACAAGTCTCAGGTAATTGTGGAGATTATCATGATTTTGGAGGTTAGCCCACTATGAACTCTGTACTGTGTGGCCTGAACTGCTGCAGGAACCTGAGACAACTAATAGAGAGTCATCTCTCCTGCACTGCTGTGTAAACAATAGTGTGGAATTAGGTTGGTTGCTTGCTTTTGGTAACTGGTTGTTACTTATACGAACTTAGGTCAGGACTAAGTTCACTATGAAAAATTTCAATCTGGATCACAAAGCATTAAAAGTGAAGAGAATGACTATTTTTGTCACTTCTTCCTTAATTAACAGGACATACTTTGAAGATGCTCACCATGTAGCAAGATCTTCAAACTTTGACATCTCCTTCCAGGTATCTGCATCCAAACCAGTGTAAATCCCATTGTTGTTTACTACAATAATCAGGATCGGCAAGTTGTATCTATAAAAAAAGATGCATTTGGAAGAATTCTGAAATACTTGCACCCTTCTCTAAGGTGTTAAAAGTGTTACTTTTCCCTAAAAGTAAAAAAAAATTAAAAAAAAAGAAAAAAAGAGAATCACTTCCACCTGAAACATGATCTACTTATCACTGGTAACACATGTCACAACAGCATAAAAACAACCATGTATATTTTTTGGCTTGTTTTCATGTGCTTTTAGGAGTACCCCATCTAACAGTGGTGTCCTTGGCCTTCTAGTTAAATTGATCCCAGTAATATGTGAAGAGAGTCTTCTTGAGCAAAAAAAAAAAGTTACCTGCAAATAGTCTCCACCTCCATCCCAGAAAATCCAAAAGCACTATCTCCTTCTATGCAGATGACTCGCTTTTCAGGTGTTTGGTCTTTAGCTACCATTGCAGCTGCTATAGCAAAACCCAGTCCAACTCCCATTGTTCCAAAAGTACCTGCATCAAGCCTAAAGGGAAGAATACAGAATTACTAGCCCTTTATTTCTACTCAAACTTTTATGTTAATCCATGGTAACTTATCTTTACTTTTAAAAATTTGCCATATACTATTCAAATACTGTTTCATAAACAATTGGTATAAAGAGATACCAGATATAGAGATTATTACATTCAGTCAAACTTTTGATAAGACTGCAAATGTTTTAAGTGATATAAACACATTGGAACTGTAATTAAAATTAGGAACTCTTATACACTAGTTGTACTACAATAAAGAACTATTCCTGTATGCTTTTAGCTTGCATAGTAACAATATTTCAAAAACATTCAATTACTGTAGAGATAGGCAGACTACATGAAATCTTTCTATATATAAATTCTTTGAAAATATAACTAGAAGTCTGAAAGCCATCGGTTAAATACTGTTGTTCAAATTTTAGTCTTCTGTTCAACTTTTGAAATCAAATTGAAAGCTGTAATTAAGTTAGATCATTTCAGTCAGAAGCACATAATGGACACAAAAGTACATAAAGAGCTAGATTATTCTAGGGTTAACTTTTCTTATTTGCTTTCAGATATGCACAATGCAATCTGAAAAGAGAATCGTTAACATTACTGTGCCCTTGTTTTAAATAAGGGGGAAAAAATGCAAACTCTTCCCTCAACTTTAGTGGAAGTATGGGGTTTTTTTAGTTTGTTGGTTGGTTTTTGTTCACAAAGAAGTATTTAGGTTCATTTATGACTTCAGTGCTACTTTCACAGGAAGACACAAGCTTCACAGTCAGATCAGAAGTTTGTCCTCACCAGACAAAACTCACCTTTTCCCCCCATTCAAGAAACAGCACTTAATTCCTACTTACATTAAAACTAGACTACACATAATGATTGAAGTGACATACCAACACTTTCAAATTTGAATGCCTACATTTTAGGCATGCAGGTTTATGTGAAAGGGTGCCCAGTATATAATTCAATTTTCAAAATTAGTTGATTCTGCTTAAGTTGTCCCCATTTTTAAGTGTGTTTCAAAGAAAAACTATTTGTATGAATTCTTTTCAACATGAGAATCCCAATGACTGTTTTTATTTTGCCACAGACTCTGAGCACAAAAATAAAGATCTAGATCAAGGAATTCAACATGATGCTCCTCACTCACTTCCCACAAAAGAGTGAGAAGCTATCACCATTCTGTTGCAGAGCACACAGACAAGTTGCAGAGAATTATTAAAATCTATGACAGGACATCAATATATGAGTGGAAAACTTCCCTTAACCCCTCTCCCAACATACTAAACTTTTATTTTTTTATTTAGAACCTTTAAAAAGGATTACAAAAATTCTGGACCATCATACTTTGCAGCTAAATGAAAACATTTATACATAGCCTGTTGAGTCAGCACAACAAAGAAAATACCACACCTTTGACGGGGATAGTAATTTGGAAGCATAGTTCGTCCAATGTCCATGGTGTTTGCTCCCTCACTTACTAAGATGCAGTCCTTGGGTATCAGTTCTCTGATGTGATGGAAGACTGTGTAATAATTCATAGGCAGGGATTTCTGTAATGCTAATCCCTTAAAAATAAGAGATGTTAGTAACTCCTATGGATATAATTTATAATAAGGTACAGAACTGAGACATGTAAATAGTAATGATGGAAATAAAAATGTACTCTGCTAGGTAAGGCTCAAGTATTTGGTCTTTCATGCACTACATCAAGGTCACTCCTTCTGTACCTATCCTGGTGACACAACGTATCTGTCAGAGGCTCACTCAGCTCAGCAACCCTTGGATGGCCTATCATTAACAGGAAGCTATTAAAACTCAGTTTAACCTGAGAGGCACATTGTGCTGGTTTCAGCTGGGATAGAGTTAATTGTCTTCCTAGTAGCTGGTATGGTGCTATGTTTTTGAGTTAGGTATGAGAAGAATGTTGATAACACACTGATGTTTTCAGTTGTTGCTAAGTAGTGTTTAGACTAAAGTCAAGGATTTTTCAGCTTCTCATGCCCAGCCAGCAAGAAAGCTGGAGGGGCACAAGAAGTTGGCACAGGACACAGCCAGGGCACCTGACCCAAACTGGCCAAAGGGGTATTCCATACCGTGTGACGTCCCATCTAGTATAGGAACTGGGGGGAGTGGGGGCAGGGGATTGCCGCTCGGGGACTAACTGGGTGTCGATTGGCTGGTGGTGAGCAATTGCACTATGCATCATTTGTACATTCCAATCCTTTTATTATTGCTGTTGTCATTTTATTAGTGTTATCATTATTAGTTTCTTCTTTTCTGTTCTATTAAACCATTCTTATCTCAACCCACAAGTTTTACTACTTTTCCCAATTTTCTCCCCCATCCCACTGGGTGGAGGGGGTGGGGGGACTGAGTGAGCGGCTGCGTGGTGCTTAGTTGCTGGCTGGGGTTAAACCATGACACACATGAAATTTTTCTGCACATAGGTTTGACTATTGATAACCCTAAGTGAGCTGTCATCTGTGTGCTGGGAGGTAGTTCAAAAGAGTGATCTGCTAGAATGAATTTATTTTAGATCCCAATCTTGAAACATGCAGAATATGAGTTGCATAAAGTTAAGCATATGCCAAGCATCTGTGGTCTTTTGGCCTTAATAGGTACTTGCTTTTAACACAGATTACACTTTCACCAGCATTGTTAAAGAGCTAAACAGCACAATTACAGAATAAAACTAAGAATGCATATTCACATAAGCTAGCTTCCCCTTGGAGTATTTGGAGGTACCTGGAGTACCTCTCCATTGCTTAGAAGTCATTGCCCATAACACAGCAGCTCTGGCTGTGGTCTTCTACCACTGGCTTTAAGAACCCAATCCCAAAGTTCAATGACTTCCACTCAGTTTGAATTTATACAAAACCTAGAATACTTAACTTACAGTTATGTATTAAGACTTAACTTACCAGTTCATAAGCCTGACAGGAGTAAGCCTGTACCAGAATGGTATAAATTTTCAAAGTCTGGGTGACGTGACTCTCAGAAGTAATTGAGGAGCTTGGATATAGACCAGTGACAAAACTGACTATGCATCAATACCTGTTAAGGTGAGAAAGCTCCTCTTTAATATAATACTACCTTCGATCTTTCTTCATTGGTCATTATTTTCTCTCTCAGCCTCTTCCACCACTCTGTATTAGAAGGATATTTCAATGGTCTTTTGCTGAATTCTTCTAAGAGCTGGAACAACATTGAAATGTTGCAGAAATTTCTTTCAACATATCCAAAAACCATCACAAGCATCAAGAAAAATGTTATCAAGAAAGATCCCAGCACAACCACAGTAACACTAATCAGAATCTTTAACATTTAATTTGAGAATAGACTGGATACACAGTGTATGTTGCCTGAAAAATGGTTTTCCTTGAACAGTTTGTGGGCTTTTTTTTTTTTTTTCTCTTTTTTTAACTGGTAACTTACTTCATATATATCAGAGGAAACCAAGGTCAAAACAGGAGGACACCTGACATTACATTACCTGCTTAGTCACAGCGTTTATGTCACCTAATAAAATTGCAGCTGGCTTCACATTATTCCCCAGCTCTTCTGCACAAATATCAATCTATATTTCAAAAAGAAAGACCACCGTTAACTCAAGGATATTAAAGAGAATTTTTTTTCAGTTCAAGTGAGGAACATTGTCTAACAATGTCTTCATACCTTATTTTGGCTGTACAGATAACTTCCTCTGCCTTTCATTGAAATGACATCAGGAAATCCTTTATTCAAAGTAAAATTCTCTGGTACATACCCATTTTAATAAAAGTTCATATATATCCTTAAATTGACTGCTTGCTTCTTTCAAGCTCTTGCAGACAGTATAGAGCTTTATTAGAACATTAAGGAGAATAAGGTGGTGATTTTAGTGATAATTATACAAGAACTAAAAATCTAGGCTTAGGTATACCCTTAAGGTCTATACAAAGCAGTAATTTTCTTACTGAGAAAAGTTTGTGTATGCCACTTGGCAGTCAGAATTTGCCTAGTATGAACAAACTGAAAAGTAAATTGCAACCACTGAAGAAAATTCTCCACTTTCTTTAGCAGTGATGTATGACACCTCTAAGGTTACATGGAACACTGACTTATGACCAGGTCACACAGACTATGAACTGAATTAGTATTTTAATACTAACCCTTGACAGTGAAAAAAATTACTTTACATGAGATGAAAAAATATTTTTCTTTACATTCTTTAGAAAAAGGAAACATAAAAGATGTATTATTTCATAAGTCAAAAGGAATTCTAGCTTAAAAATGTATGTTATTCCTCTAGAAAAGATGCAAAGTTTGGAAGCCGAGATTATGTTCCAGATCAGTGAAGGCAGGCCAGTCAGCACACCGAATCAACTACTACTCTTTGATCACAGACTCTAAGCGAGGAGATTTTTTTTTTTTAAGGACATAAACAATTTAACGACTTGTCTTTCTAAGAGCTGGCAGATTGCCAAATACATTAATTAGTTAAATAGCCTTTCTTTTCTTTGACTGACTCTGGATCTAAAAGCGATACTATTTCAAAAAATCCAGCTGAGACAGCTGTCAAACAGTATGAAAGGTTTCACAATTTCAAGACAATTTGCTTTCAATCACAGAAATTCCAGTGCTCCAAAGATCACACAAGTATCATGAGTCTAATCCTGTATTAGTCAGCTACATAGAAGTGTCTGCCCTCCTCATTACAGCACCAAGTCCTTGATAGCTGGAACAATGCTGTAACCATTTTTAGAAAAAATAAGGAAGTAAAAAAAAAAATTTAAAGAAGTCAGAAGTATTTCTGTAGAACTACTGTAACTGTATGCACTGTACTGCACTGTCCATAGGGCAGTATTTGCCACATGAAGTACACTACCAAAATAATTTACAATAACTGCTCTAGGCAATGCTAGAACACAGAGGACTTCCCTCAAGTGACAATCATTTTCACGCTTACCTGAATAACCTTTACATCTTGTCGAAACCTTGGTGGAAGACCAAAATGCAAAATCCAATTCAACCTTGCACCAAGCAAGATGATTACATCAGCATGCTGTAATGCCCTAATAAAAGGAAATAAGAGAATCAGATAAAGAGAAATTATTATTAACTTCAATAGTGTTTTCAAAATTAGAAGTAATCTTAATCACCACAGCAAACCCCAGAATATACATATATTCCTTCTTTCCTCTAAGCTGCTTGCTTAGCCCCAAAACCCCGTGTCCTTTTACACAGCCAATCATCAAGCCATTCTTGAGTTTAGGAACTCAAGAAGAAAATTACTCTTTTCCTGATACACTGTGTTTGGGAAAGGAATCATTACACTAGGAGACTAACAAGATGCTATAATGATGCTGAGGTTAAAGCAAAAGACTCACTATTGTGGCACTGGCAACAGTGGGTGCCAAAATTAAGATTGTTGTGGACCTCTCAGTTTAGACTCCTGTTAATTTACCTTTCAGCTGGGTAGACAACATTTGGTATAATATTTTATTCTCCATTTTTCTTAACAGCATGCTTAACAGTGATAAAGCTAAGAAGTTCAACAATGGACAATATTTTAATCTCAAAGTATATAAATGCTCCACCTGCAAGCTGACTGTGCATATTCATACCTAGTAGGGCTCTTATAGTCCATTCACATCAATTTTGCCAAAAGGCTAAAAACCCTCTTATAAATTACTTTAAACATAGTCCTTCAGTGTAGTTTTAAATACATTATTTTTCTTTTTAGATGAAGTGTGATTTAGTGACGGTGTATTGCAAACACCATGCAGAGACAGCAGATAGCAAAACTTCAACTGCAATGTGTGCATCTTAAGCTTCTGTTTATGGTGTTAAAATAAAAAGCTAGTAGTTTGTCTAGTGCACCAAGTTAAATGTTTAACATAAACTGTTTGCCTGTTTCATTTTATATTATGAAATACATACTAACAACATTGATACATCTACTTGCCATAGGTTTCATAGTTACAGAGTATTAGCTCTCAGATAAAGTATCTTCCTGGCCAGCATTCTAGGCATTGTTAAAAGTGATCCACCTAAATCTGTTGTCTCTTTCCAAGCAAGATCTTCAGTACTCTAAAATGCAGTGCAAAATGTGGTTGAAAAGTTTTTATTGTACAAATTTTGCCTTCCCTGGCATGTGTAGACCATGACAATTCCTAGTTGTTTCTCAGATGTTAGGATTAGAAGCCTTGTTTTATATTTACGTTGATCTTGCTGCAGCTACACAATTTGGATGGTTATCAGGAACTACTCCTTTTGCCATTGGTGTAGGCAAAAAAGGCAGTCCACAAAGGTCCACCAACTTTCTGATGTTGTTTTCAGCATGTGAATAAGCAGCACCTGAATGAAATGAAAAAGACTGCTCAATACCACAGAAACCTACTGTATTCACTTCAACTTCAATAAAACTGATTACATTCGTGGCAGAAAGAATACTATTTCCCATTATGAAAGCTAACTGTTATTTTTCATTCTAGAGAACTCAAAACATAACATGGCAAACTACAGGTATTTGGGTTCAAATTTCCCATATTTTTGACAAAAGCTTTTTTTTTTTTTTTTTAAGGCTTAAGTTGAACTACTTAGCTATTTCTGTAAAGCAGGGCAGGGAAGAACAGATTTTGTTTATCTAAAACAACAATTTTGAGTGGATGAAGTTTGGTATTACGGGGCAGAGACTTCTGCAGTAGCAACAGGAGATGACCTTTGTGCTGTGTCATGCCATTTTTTGCTTGCCCCCTGCATACCATTGTACCACATGCTCCATAACAATCTGTCCAAACAGGTCCACTATAAGCCTTTAATAAAAAAAGAGAAGCCCAAAGAAGACCTTGTAAAGATATGTGTTTGTGCGTACATTTACTGTGATGCTAGCTTCAGTACATGCCTGCTGAAATAAGGTTGCCCAGGTAATCTAGAGTAACTAATTGGTCCTTGTGCAATGATTTAAGTCCAAGAGTCTTAAACCCTGAAGAATTAACTTTTGTATTTCTTCCAAAATTTCTGCTAACAAAAATATATAGCAGAAAGTCCAGATACATGTTAAGTAGATTCTCAATTGTTAACATCAACAAAACATATATATATGTATTTTTGAGTTTTCTACCTTTCCCTTTCAAAGTACACCCTTTTGTTCATGTGTATCAAGCCAGAGAGAGGAAAAAAACCCCAACCTCTCCCAATCTACCTTGTCTATTATTTCATTACCTAATCAACAATAAGATCCTTCTCATCTCAATCATTTCACTCCCTGATTAAACATAGAACCTCTCTCCAAGATATAGATCTTCCCCACATCTGCAGGAAAACAGCCTGCGTGAAACAAGTTGCTTATATCAATTCTGTTACTAGCAGATCTGTATCTTCAACAGAAACGCCACTGCAATGACTAACATTCCACAAGGAAGGACAAAATACGTGAACCAGCACAGTGAATAATTATCCTCTATCTTTAGGGACACCTCTATTTCAGGAATGAAATACACTGGCAGAGTACAATGGAAAGTCTGTAAAACAGCATTAACAGCAACACCTGCTGTGTTGCTTCACGTCTCCACATAGGCAGGCTGGCACTTTCAGTCAGTCCAAATCGAAAAATGACCTTTGGTTATTCTCATTCTTGCTATATACGCCAGAGCATCAGACAGAGAATATCACTTCTGTATTCTAACAGAATTTGTTTGGAATTTTGGAAGCGATCCCTTGGTACTGGCTCTAGGCTTAAGATAATGGTTATCCAATTTTTTTCTACTTAAACTTGTATTTTATCAATTGACTTTTCTCTTAAACTAGATGAAAAAGATAAGTTATGCAAGAGAATAAAAATATTCTAAAAACAGAGCAGATTTTAACATCAAATTTCAAAAAAGTTTGTTTGTGTTTTTTGTTTTGTTTTTTTGTTTGTTTGTTTTAATAGAGAGTGAAAAGGACATGGCTAGCACTTATAGGGAAAAGAAATCACTTTATTCGTTGTTCTTGTCCCAAACTAGTACAGTTCAAAGCTACATTAAAGCATGCTACCTTTGCCAATGATTAGTAGAGGCTGCTTGGAAAGACCAATGATAGACGCTGCTTTGGATACAGCAGAGCATTCGGCCATGCTGATGGGAGGTGGCAGGCAGCATTCCACGTATCTAGAAGTCAAGCAAAACATAAGAGGCTCTTTAAAAAATTCAAACCAAGAAATATTGAAAGACAGAACCTATTGTTTGGCATAAAAACCACAGTTGCTACACACCATGTTACAGCATTTATCAGAACAGGATATATTTTTTTTTAAAACAGGCTTTGAAGTTTTTCTTGCATGTTTCTTCAGTCTCATAGGTAGTGTTGTTCCAGAGATTTACAAAGTGACATCATTGTATTACCATCATGTTAATTCATTCCTTTTTGCACATTGCATTGCAAACTATAATCTATATCACGTTACGATGGAATGTTAAATTTAGAGGCTGGATTTTCTTGTTTTAAGAAAAGAAAATACAAGAGTAACTTAAAACTAAAATTTCTTTTATTCAGGGACTTGAAAAATAATGAATATAATCTTTACGCACTTGACAGAGCTCTTATTCACCTGAAGATTCACAAAATCCCCAGGTATGTCAATATAGCAGGAACCTGGACGACCATACATGCTGGTTCTTACAGCCTAGAAAACAGATAATCACAGTTTTAACCATGGTTTGAAAGGATTTTAAAAATCTTTGTGTGTAAATGTGGTGGTTTAACCCCAGCCAGCAACTAAGCACCATGCAGCTGCTCACTCGCTTCCCCCCCACCCAGTGGGATGGGGGAGAAAATTGGGAAAAGAAGTAAAACTCGTGGGTTGAGATAAGAACAGAAAAGAAGAAACTAATAACAATAATAACACTAATAAAATGACAATAGTAATAATAGAAGGATTAGAAGATACAAGTGATGCACAATGCAATTGCTCACCACTCGCTGACCGATGCCCGAGCAGTGATCCCTCTCCCCCCCACTTCCCCAGTTTATATACTGGGCATGATGTCACATGGTATGGAATACCCCTTTGGCCACTTTGGGTCAGCTGCCCTGGCTGTGTCCCCTCGCGACTTCTTGTGCCCCTCCAGCTTTCTCACTGGCTGGGCATGAGAAGCTAAAAAATCCTTGACTTAGTCTAAACACTACTTAGCAACAACTGAAAACATCAGTGTTATCAACATTCTTCTCATACCTAACTCAAAAACATAGCACCGTACCAGCTAGGAAGACAATTAACTATCCCAGCTGAAACCCTTCTGTAGGCAGAGAAGGAACATGCTGTTTCATATTGCTGAACCACCACAGGGAAAGCTCCCATGGATTGATTTATACCAATAAATTCAAGTTTTGAGAGCTATTTACATATTGCCTTATATACCAGCTGAAGCCTTTTAGTAGATGCACAGTATTAAGACTGTAAAGTCTTTGTTTAATTTACAATGAGAACTGCATTATTAGCTGTTGTGTTTGGAAATACTAAATTAAACTTTCATGCTGAATTCTATTTAAAGTAGCACAAAGAGAAAAAGCAAGACAACCAATGCTTCCATTTTCTATTCCTTTTGATTCCAGTTCTTCTGTTACAGGTGGATGCTCTGCTGAATTTGCACTTCTGGAAACAGTACCATTCTATGCAGAATTTAGGCTGACATGGCTGAAGCATTGCTACAGCAGTAGCAAGAGACTTTTGTAATCCTTTCTGAAACATTGAGATAAGGATATGTTTTCTCTTACTCTCTCAAAAAAACCCACCAAACCCACAACCAAACTCCAAAACCCAAACACAACTGTCTCCACTGCCCCCCGTCCAAATCTCCTTCACACGATGAGTGCTAAAAGAGCTGAAGTTTGTAGTATTATATTTCTAGTTATTGCACCTCTCCCTAAAAGCATTTATTTCATAAAATTTTTCCAGTTCTGACTGAAGCTAACAAAAAATGCTGCAGGGATCAGTAAGCATCAGGTTGGACCAGAATCTATTTCTAACCCGTTCCATAGCATTGTTCATAGGAAAAACCTCCCTGGTTGTTAATTTAGACACAACCATCATCTAGCATCTGCAGGATCAAACTATTTACAGTACCAACTATACAAAAAATAAACCCTCAAAACTTATAAAGGAGGAGACAGTTACCTGATGTCCTGTTGCTAATTTAGTATTTTTTCATACCTTTTCAATAACAGCAGGAATAACTTCTAGGCTGCTTGGGCGGACAGACAGTTTGTTGTAGAGCCTACCAGCTTCAACCTGAATAAATGCATATAACCATTACATTGATTTATCAAAGTGAATTGCTCATTACCATCTCATTTCAACATGAATAAAATGGAAGAAATCCCAAATGGAAAGCAAAAAGCTGAAAACTCCCACATAGAGAAATGCAGTTCCTCAGCTGGTGGAAACTGTCAAAGCCATACCCATCCCCCTGATTGCTTAAGTATTTCTCCCCCCCCCCCCCCACCCAAGAGGCGTTCCTTTTTTTGTAA